GTGGCGAGGCGCTTGACCGCCCGGCACGCTGGATCCTAAATCGCCTCCCTGCTGCCCGGGTCCGCCGCTGCTGGCGGGGCTGAGTGGAAGATCCTGACAGAGGCGTTTTGCTAACTAATGCCGCCTTATTTCTGGCTTCTCTATTGCTCCTTAATAGAGCTCGTGTTCTGTTTATTGGCGAGATTTTAATTTCTACAGCAAACGAGTGCAACAGGTTTTTCTTTTTTTTTTTTCTTTTTATTTCTACGCTTCTGAATCTTACCTAAAATATGGTAGTATTTGGTGTCCGCACTGAAACTCAGCGGGATGTGCTTTATTTAAAGGTTGTGGCTGGTTTATGCAACTCTCTTGTATGTGATTTTTCTTCTTTATTTATTTCAGGCCCCTCCAAGGCATTCCTTGCTCACAATGTATAGAACAAAAGTCAGTTTGAAAGACCGTCAGCAACTTTATAAACTGATAATTAGTCAGCTGCTATATGATGGATACATAAATATTGCCAATGGCTTGATAAATGAGATAAAACCACAATCAGTCTGTGCACCATCTGAACAACTGCTGCACCTAATTAAGTTAGGTAAGCTGGAATAAAAAGCTAACAGAAAAGTCCAGTTTCTAAATACCTAGCTTAAATCCTTGTGAATTAAGAGGTTAGCGTTACTGAAAAGACATCTTTTATGCAAAGGTTATGTCTAGTAATAGCATAACATTTTTGCATATTTAGATACAGCCTTTGCCTCCGTGGCTTTTTTTGAAGCGTATTCTAGTTCTATGTTTCATTCTTTGGTATGCATTAAAAGCAAAACAGATCACTGAGCGTTGTCAAAATCTGTTTGTTTGAACTTCTTGTAACACGTAAGAATACCTGGCCAGGGTCCTGGGTGACAGGCAACTTTCTAAAAATACACTCCAGTAAACGGGATCACTGAGTCCACAGACCTAATAGAAAACTGACCCACACGGTTCTCTGCCAACTTTAGAAATATTTTCTATATGATTCTTCCTGACAGTGTTGGAAGGGGAGCAAGCCCTTCCGTTGGCAATCTTCACTAGCCTTTATATCTCAGTCTTAAGAAAATAAGCTTCACAGTCTAGGGTCTCAGCAAAGGTATTGCCTGTTCTCTCTCTGTGTATCTTTCTCTCTGAAAGTATATCTGTGCCACAGTATATAGTCAAAATACCTGAGCTGCTGTTGAAACAAGCTGAGTTACGGGAAGAGGTCTAGCCATAGCATCGTGTCTTCTCTGTATTGTAACTGAACTGGTTCTGCTGCCTGAACTAGTCGAGTTCCGAGAGTATAAATATGTGAAGCCTTGTGTCTGTGAAATAAGATTGCTAGACTTACAATTTGTAGATGAAAGGAACAAAAACTTTTCTGTTGCATTTGATCAGTTGAGGATCGCAGTTGCGCACATAGCTGAAAATTTGTGTCTGCCCTGTTACCACTTCCAGTGCTGAACTGTCTTTGTTCTGTAGATGCATCCTGGAAATAAAATTATTAAAAAAAAAAAAAATCTGTAGAGTGGGTGTGAAAAGGAATAAAAATTTTCATTTACAATGCTGGGATAGTTGTTTGTGGGGTGTTGATTTTTTTTTTTTCTTCAATGCAATAAAACAGAAAGGAAAAGAATTGGTAAAAGCTTCAGTTTTTTACTTCAAATCTCATGTAATAATGTTGGGGCTTGTTTCTCCCTCTGTGAAAAGCTGACTAGATGCCTGTCAATGGCTTCAGTAACTGAAGTACTGATTGTCAGTGCATTTATCAGTACTTGACCATCCTACAATATTTGCTGGTTGTATTTCCACAGTTAACTTTAAGAGCTGTATTCTGCTCTAGCATAGCCAAGTACCTCTAATTTCTCACAAGAAGTACTGCTGTATAACTAAATCTGCTCTGCTAGCTTAGCTTTGTTCAGTAGGGGCTGCTTCTCTTAAAACCTGTGTTGTAGCAGCTATGGAAGTCCGTAGCAGCTATGGAAGTCCGTAGCAGCTACGGAAGTCCATAGCATACATCTGGCCACAGCCTATCTGTCTAAGGAGAAGGTTAACCTGGTTTAAGTGCATCAACTTCTCTCTTTTCAGGAATGGAGAACGATGACAGTGCTGTTCAGTATGCAATTGGACGGTCAGATACGGTAGCTCCAGGCACAGGAATTGACTTGGAATTTGATGCAGATGTACAGACCATGTCTCCTGAGGCTTCTGAATATGAGACTTGTTATGTCACATCTCATAAAGGACCGTGTCGTGTAGCTACGTATAGCAGAGATGGACAGTTAATAGCTACAGGATCTGCTGATGCCTCAATAAAAATTCTTGATACAGAGAGAATGTTGGCCAAAAGTGCTATGCCTATTGAGGTAAAATATAACTTGAATCATAACCACTTTGTGAACTCTTGAGGTGCTGTCTGTTTCATGCCATGTCTGTGCCTTGTGGCTGGCTCAGTGGGTTGGACTAAATACCTGGCTCGCCGTATTTCCTACCCCAACAGCAGCTCATAAAGCACCCTTGAAGAAAAGGAAGAAGAAATAGGGCAAGTATACCTGTGTAACTTCTGGTAGCAGTCTAGAGAATTGAGCCAGATTAGGAGTGGGGGTTTTGGGGTGGTTTTTTGGGTTGGGGTGGGGTTTTTTTTGTTTTGTTTTGTTTTTTTTTTTGCATGGAGTGCACACTTAATTCTCAGCAGTATCCTGCGTGAATAAAAGTTGCAGTTTTCCCAGTTGGTACAGCTTCCCTTAATTCTTATGGCAATACAGTATTTTGATTTGGACTGTTTATGAAGGTGATATGTTTTCTTGCACCAGTTCTCTGCTACTGAAACCAGTTTGTCCTTGAGCAAGTCAATTGACCTTTGTAAAGATACAGGGATCTTATCTGATAACAACATATAATGGTCCTCCAAATAATTAAGGTAATAGTGATTATGTGGCTAGTCATGTGCCAGAAAGGTAGCTCTTGTTTGGCCACTCTGGCAAGCATAAAACCTACTTTTCCTGTCAAACGTATGTTCTGCTTTCTAACACTCTTAACTTGTTTAATGTTCTTTGTAGGTCATGATGAATGAGACAGCACAGCAAAACATGGAAAATCATCCCGTTATTCGGACTCTGTATGATCATGTGGATGAAGTTACGTGTTTAGCTTTTCATCCAACAGAACAGATCCTAGCATCTGGTTCAAGGGACTACACACTTAAATTGTTTGATTATTCAAAACCTTCTGCCAAAAGAGCCTTCAAATATATACAGGTTAGATACAATACCAGTTCAGAGCAACCACAGCTTGAATGTATAAGTACAGAATGTGTAAAAGGTATCACTGAGCTGAATTGTGTCTGAGTTTGTAAGCGGTTAGGTATGTAGGAGTACACAGCTAAAAAATTTGTAGACGTTATGGTAATTATGTGTTAAGAGTTTGTGCATCATTGTTACCTATATTCTTTAAATCTAGTGCCTGTCTGCTTTTTGTTAATGTAGACCAAACCTAATATGGGCAACTTTGAAGTCAGTTATATTATCTTTGTTTTGGAGGAGAGTTTGGGATTATGTGGTGGTGGGCTTTGGGGTGCGTGACAGGCTGACAAAGCCTCCCGTCACTTTTGTGCGATATCCCAAAAATAAGCAGGCACTGCAAGCTGCTCTAGGGCAGAAACTACAATACAGTTAAAGGTAGCTTGTCATTTTAATCCTATAGGAAGCATTTTCTATTTTTGCAAAAACAGAACACATCATGCTAACTGACAATTTAACTAGTTTTTTAGCACTAATGCCACCAGAATTGACACCTCCATTTCAGATTTTTTTTCTTTCTTACACCAATTATGTATTTTTGATCAAACAGGAAGCGGAGATGTTGCGCTCAATTTCTTTTCACCCTTCTGGAGATTTCATACTTGTTGGTACCCAGCACCCTACTTTACGACTGTACGATATCAACACTTTCCAGTGTTTTGTGTCTTGCAATCCTCAAGATCAGCACACTGATGCTATATGTTCAGTAAATTACAATGCAAGTGCGAACATGTATGTGACAGGAAGTAAGGATGGATGCATCAAACTGTGGGATGGTGTTTCAAATCGCTGTATCACTACTTTTGAGAAGGCACATGATGGAGCTGAAGTCTGTTCTGCTATTTTTTCAAAAAATTCAAAGTATATCTTGTCAAGTGGAAAAGACTCTGTAGCTAAACTGTGGGAGATATCCACTGGTCGAACACTGGTCAAATACACAGGTATGTGGCAGGTGACCTTCCAAGTACCATCTTTTTCAGGTACTGACCCACGGCAGGGATGGTAATATTGTCAGAAGAATAGTAATTCTTAAAAGCAATGGGAGACTGCTGCTTTGAGGATAAATTACCCCAAATTTTTGAAAACACTTAATGTAGACTAATTCCAGAAGAGCAGCTGTGATTCTTGTATGGCAGTCAGTGTAAACGTATTTAGTCTGAGTAGATTTTGGAGACTTTTCTGACATCATTACTCCATTGCTTTGGAGGGAAGTTGTCACTAAATTAGGGAAGAGTAAAAAGGAACGCTGCCCTAAGGACTGGGACATTTGTGGAGAGGGTTTTGTTCTCTAGTTTTCCTTCAGTGTGTTTTAGAAACAGTGATTATTAAAACAGCATCATCATTTTTCTTGCTGGTGATCATTTTGATTTTGTGACTTTTCTACATATTGCTGGACTAGGGGCACAGTTTAAACTGGAAGGGTCAAAACTAACACCTGATCCATTTCTGGTGAGAGCAGGCCACGTTCCTGCCGAGTACCCACCCAGACAGGGAACTGAACCTACTTTGGGGCAGTTGTTTTAACCATTAGACTCTTGCACAAAAGATGGCTCTAGTAAGCCATGGCAATATTCTGAAAAATAGCTACAGATGGCTTGTTTTGGTTTGGGGTTTTTTGTTTGTTTGGGTTTTGGTTTGGGTTTTTTCCCCAAGGATGCAATTGTGTGCAAGGTAGTCATACTTAGAGCGTGCTGACAATACCACGCTTTGATCTCAGCAGAAATGGTGAAGGATGTAGAAGCTTTGCATATGATAGCAGCTATGTGACGGGGGAAGCTTTTGGGTCAAGCAGTAATGTGCTTAAGCGTTAGGAGTCATGGCATACAAGAGGAGAGGATGTTGAAAATTTTGTGTATCAGCTTTTGGGATGTGTATGGTCCTTTTTTGTATGCTAGCTCTATTTTGCTGTCAACCAGCAGGGTGCAGCACCTCCTTGATAAACTGTTGCAAAATACCAGGTAGGAGGCAGGTGCGTGCATTGCAAAGTCAATGCCTATATGTGAAACACATTTTATTTGAAGGGTATGGAGGGAAGGAAGTTGTCAGTGATAATGAAAATCTGTGTATTGTGCTGTCTGTGGTCTTTCCCCTTAGTTACAGCCATAAGCCTCATACAAAAAATGTAAGGCAAAAGTCCTCTTCACGTTAAGTGATTGCACTCCTACTGAGTGATTGGACTTGATTGACGCAGTTGGAGTAGTTAATCTTTCTGTCTAAAAAGAAATTTTAGAATATGCTAGGTATATAACTACAAAAGAATATTCATTATTGATTCACCTTTTTTATGTGGAAGCGGTAGGCTAACTGAGAAAATAAGGTTCCTTCCCAGACTGCAGAAATTGATACTTATGGGAGGTTTATTCTTAAGTCTTTGGAAACTTCCTCAAACTGGTTCTATGTAGGTTAATATTTTGCTGCATATATTTAGGAGCTGGCTTGAGTGGACGACAAGTACACAGGACACAAGCTGTCTTCAACCACACAGAAGATTATGTGCTGCTTCCAGACGAAAGGACCATAAGTCTCTGCTGCTGGGATTCAAGAACTGCTGAACGGAGAAATCTGCTTTCTCTTGGGCACAACAGCATTGTCCGTTGTATTGTCCATTCTCCTACCAATCCTGGCTTCATGACTTGCAGTGACGACTACAGGGCTAGATTTTGGTACAGAAGGTCAACGACAGACTAAGGACAGCTTTATAAAACAGCGATTATCCAGATTCATTATATCATCTTGTATTGATTGTACTGCCAACAGATGCCTAGATGAAAGCTGTGCTGTGTCTGGTTTTTTTAATTCTGTCAAACGTGGCAGAAAAATATCGAAATACTGAAACTAAGTTTTGCCCCACGCTAATTTTTTTTATTAGTGTGTGTGGCATTAATTTTTGTAAGTCATCTCTAATTGTACTCAAGGAGTGTGTGGGGAGAATAAAAAGATCCTTGCAGGAAGGATTAAACTTGTTCTCCAGTCTTTCTAAATCCCACGAAAGATAATGTGACTGTGTCTTGCTCAGACTGGGCAGTATGAGCCAGTTTTGCTCTGCATTGCGTCTGTGCAATCCCACTGAAGTCTGTTTAAAGAATGGATTACACAATAACAGCAGAACTTGGCAAATACTTTAATGAAGCCTTAAGCTGCCTTCAGTTCGGATTCGTTCTTTGTAAAGCTCTGTTTTGTATCTTTTAGTCGGGTTTTTTTGGTGGATTTTTTTTTTTTTTTTTTTTTTTTTTCAAATTGGCCAAGTGGACCTTCAATTCTGAGCCAGTCTTGTGCCATAAGAATTTGAAACAGGATTTTAAATTGTTTAGACAAATTCAAGAAATGGTGTTCTAGTTCTGGTATTAAAGCTCAGACTTGAAATCTCGTCTTCTTTTGAATTTATCTTAACAAGTGGGACCTCAAAGTAAATTCATAGTTTTTTCAAGGAGCATCCACATTGCAACTGTAAAATGTGACAGTGCTGCAGCATGTGAAAATGAGAATAATTTTGCCATAGCGACCTTTTAGTATCCTCTCAAAGAAAGAAACTGTTGTGCATATTAATTTTTGTATATGTACCTCAGAAATGTCACTTTGCTTCATTTTATTGAGGAATTTTAATTCTATAAGTCTGTTACACAGCACTTGAATTACATTCTTTTTTATTATTATTATTCAAAAACCCAGACTTGCTGTTTCTTCTCCCTGTTATCTCTAATAGTCTGAGTTTCCCAGACCTCATCCTACTCAGCAGAAGTACAGAGCATTAAGAAACTCTGTGCTTAAACCTTCTGTAAGTTTGAAAATTCACTACTTATTTTTACAGATAGTTGCCTGTGCAAAGTTTTAAATGTGTTCATTCAAGCATCCTTCTACAGTGCTCTTGAGCTTCACATTCGGGAGGCTTCCTTTAGTCAAAAGCCCAGCATTTGCTTTCATGAGGATTTTTAAATGTAAGATTGTTCTTACTGCTGGATTAACTTTCCATTTCCACTGATGAAGTGTCTTGTCAAGGGCTGATGAGGGTACAGGTTTTGTCTGTATTTAAATAAAGATTACCTTTCAAAAAGTTATTTAATATATAAAGGGAATGTATTAGTTTTCTATATGAGAAATTGAATATTGGAAAGCTACGTCTTTGGCGACATGCTAAAGCTTGATCAATTTGTTGTGTTACATCTGAATGAGACATAACTATACACTTACAGTATAGAATGAGGGGTGGTTTTTTAAAACAGGTAGAGAATGGAATTTAATTTTCCTCTTAAAAGTTACTGCTGCGCAAAATATTTCTTGGGCTTAGCAATCCTCTTCGCTCCTCCTCTGCCTCCCTTCAGGTTTGTAAAATTTTAGAAACATGAGAGGCATGAGATAGATAGCAGTTCTGGTGGCTTTTTTGTTGGAGCAACAAGGAGAACCAGAGCTTGGTGGGAGGGAAAAGGGAAGTCCTGACACCGTTACTAACGCATGCTCTACTCGCGCGGCGACAGCAGCCCTCTGCTATTGCAGCCAGCCTGCTAAATTGATAGCAGTTGCAGATTTTTTTGGAGTGCCACATTTGTTTCAGTTCTGTTACTTATGGACAGCTTCTTTAACACATCTGCTACTGGTGTTTGGGCTGTTCTATTTTTAAAACACTCTCTTGGTGTTTTATGTATTAAACCACTGCTGTGGTTGGTAAGGTAGCAGCAGGTTTTCACCTCAAGCTTCCTTAATTCTGTGGTCTTTCAACTGCAGCATAGAAATAGGAGTTTTATTCTGTTAACACAAAAACATCCTGACGTTAGCACCTCTTTCTTTTCATATTGATACATCATCTTGCTTGAGGCCGGAAGTTTGGGGGGTTTCCGTTTGAGAAATAAGAGCTGGAAGAAACTTAACTCATCCTATTTAGGTAGATAATGCAGCCTGGGAGCGAAGTAGTTGAGTACTACCACATCCCAGCGGCACTCTGGTAGTTGAAGGTGGTTGATTGGGGACGAGAATGAGGGGGCGAGGCTGCTGCGCAGTGTTCGGAACAAGCACACGTGGAAGCGAAGAGCCGTAGCTGCGTCTCAAAGGACAAGGTTGCGTACACACGTAGTTGTTAGATCTGCATTTGGTTGAAGGGGAATACACCTTTTCACTGTGCAAGTCTGGAAGCATCTAAGTAAACATTTCTTCACGTGATGGTGCTTGCTGCTGGAGTCAGGCTTCACACCTAGAAGCTGTATTTGATCGATCAGAACCTCAGTGCGGCCGCTTGCCCTGCACGAGTTTCGCAGTCTGCACCTCTTGGTAGCTCCATCCCAGCGAGCTGCTCCGCTCAAGAGAAGCACAGGCAAACTCGGGATTTACCACCGCCTCAAGAAAGTCTCCTTCACCTGTTCGAAGGTCCGCTGTGTCCATCTGGCATGTAACCTGTTCTTGCCTCTCCTCGGAAGAAGCTAGCGTGGAAACGTGGCAAGGTTAATGCTAACGCATTAGGCCAATGAGCCGTGCCAACGTGAAAGCAAAACAACTTCGGAGAGAAACCATGATTATGGTTTTGTATCTTTCGGCGTTCAGCACTCCTTGGCACGCTGACTTGGCAGCCAGTAACTGTCACGGCCCTAGGGAAAGTCCTAAAAGGCCGCTTCTGGAATTAGGCTTGCTTGCCACCCATTGAAACAGATTTCAAACGTTCTACTTCAGAGGGGGGACCGGTCCGGGATCAGTATTTCTCATTTCCTGGACACAGAGGCCATCCTTCCAGCAGGGCTGCCCTGTGAGACTGAATCCCAGGAAAAACTGAAGTGCAATAAAGGAAAAGTAGTTAAGATAATTGTGGTTCAGGTTAGGAAGTTCTCTGTGTGGCTGCAAGGGACCCTTCAAACGTGCTGCAGCACAACTGCGCTACTCGCTGAGTGGGATGCTGCAGGACAGGAGCCGAAGCCCGTGGATTTCCTTGTGTTCCTGTTCAAGCCTTGGTGCAGCCAGGAGGAGGCTTCCACAGGGCATTCACCCCCCAGGTACGGATGGTAACACGTAAGGTCTTCGCAAAGCCCCTTTGTAACAAAAAAATTGTTACCGGTGCCTTCAAAGTAGAGACAACTTTGAAAGGCATGAAAAATGTTGGCTTCGAAATCCCAAATGGATATGATTGTGGCAGTCATTTCTATGGAGCGTTGTGCAGCCCCTTGTGGAACGTAGCATTCTTGTGTTCGTTACAGTTCTGAAAGAGGAAATACAGGAACATGTAGCGAAACAGGGTGAGACTTCTGACTGGTTAATTGCGACAAGTTGGTGACAGATCAAGGAAAATTCCACTTGCAGACAGACTTTTTTCTCTCGCTTTTAGACACTAACAGCTTTCTTCTGTTTCGCATTCTGTGTTGTCACAGAAATTATCTTTCATGAGAATCTTTTCTACAAATTCCTAAATGCTTTTAGGGGTAGAGCTGTCAGATGTGCTTTCTTGCGACGTAGTTCCTCACCCATGGTGATTGTGCAAAGCTGAATTCTCTTCATCCTGCCATAATTCGCTATTGCTCAACGTGACGCTGCTGGTGAGTGACGACAATGGATAAAAACATCAGAATCAACAGAACTGCAAAGGTAAGTCTGTTGTTTTGGGTACAGCAATAAACAATTACGAAAAAAGGATCCTAGAGTAGGGTTTGCTGTTTGAATTCAGCATGGTGCTTGGTGATGTCGGAAATGTTTGGTATTCTCACCTCGAGGTGGACGGAGGGCTCCTCACGATGCCCATGTACCTAACGTCTCCCTGCGCTTTTTGTTGTGACGAAATCATTAACTGGAAGAAATGTTTTCTTGGGGAGGACTGTGAATAAAGTAGGATTGCCAAAGAGCAAATATGTGTGAATAAACACATTTGTGAAATAATAAATATAACTTGAAGGTGTGAGCTGGCTTGCTGCTATCCTGTAGTAACATTTGAGACACGGTTACATTGGCAGAGACTTTCAGTGACGGTCCAGGTGACCTGGTGCACGATAGAGAATTCCCCTACATTACATGCAAAACAGGAGAAATTTTGAAGTACTGTATTTGTTTCTTTTGAAAGACTGGAACTAGTTTATAAGTTTTTTTATATTTATTTGTGTATTCATATTGCATCTAGTATAATTTTACATAGATAAAGCAACCTGCTGCAGCTATAAGGGTTAGCGAATGCTGAAGTCTTGATTCAAAGTCAGTGCCTTGATTGCCCTACTGTCTGCAAGTCTAATAAACAGCGTAATGGAATTATTATTTTCATCCTGACTATGATCTCAGTGTGTACTGTAAATAAACTGGCTCCTGGAAATTTGATACAAAATACAGCGGGGGAAAAAAGCTCAGTACCAGCTCGATGAGTCATTCTTCTGCACTCAAAATTTTCCATTAAGGCATGTAAAGATAAGAGGACTATTTTTCACTTTAAGTCATCAGAAATTGATGCAGGACATTTTTAATTTCTACACAGAGAGGAGAGTTTTTATTTCTAGGAGTGGTATTTTCAGTTTTCTTAAATGGGTTGCCAGTGGCTAAACAAATGTAGTGGTAGCAAGCTGATTGCCTGTTCTCCTGTGAGATCTTTAGACACACCCATAGCACACCCAGTCAAATTCAGCTGAGTAACAACTGAAAGTCAAATTTATTTCTGCTATATAATTTATGAACTGTTTATAAGGTTCCTACTACCCTAGCAGTTCTGTTTAGTATAACATTTGAATGTTATACTTAATACAAAAACACTGAGGATGTGTTTTTTCTACTATCTGGACACCTTGAAGCACCACGTGCCAGCCATCAGTGGCTTTACCGGGACAGGTAATGCTTTGCAATTATCGCTGTGCCCCAACTATTCCCCCCAACTATTCCACTTCCGCAAGGAAAACCATTTCTGCAAATGAATTCAGTATACGAGCGCAGCCAGAGAAATGATGTCACTTCTTTCTTGCTGCATACGCACCTGTGACATAGCCTGCGCCCGAAACGTTGCAACTCGGTGCAATTTAAACGCAGTCAGCATGACCGGCTGCGCTTGGGCAATCGCTCCCGTGCGCAGCGCCGTGGCTCTGGGGTGCCTGCTCTCGCCCCCCCAGTCTCCACCTCAAACGCCCGGGAGCACATATGTGTTTCAAAATAGGATTTGCCAGAGCTAACATACTGAGCTACTTAAATAGCCAAGAGGAAATACTGGAGAGAAT